CACTAATTTTTTATGCCAATCATGATTAGAATGATATAAAAATGTACATGTACTAAATAAAATTCGAAAATCAAACATTTAAAATGTTATGGTTGAATTTGTCCAATTTGGCTGGAATTGTTTAACGTATACACACAGCTTTGTATTTATTGGGACAGAATATAGAGAGTAGCATTTAGAAAAATAAACAAGTTCTAGTAATAGTTATAAGTATCTTCAACTACCTAAATTAATTAAGATATTGATAATGAATTGGAGAGTGGGGATATATGGTAATGGTATGGTGGTATCGATATAGGGACATCCCCATTCCTCCAAATGGCCACCTGGGGTGCCCTGTAGCAAGCAGCTGAAGTTTAACCACTGTAAGAAATGTAGCCCCAATTTCCAAGGTTTTGGCACGTAATGCACTTAGACACACACCCCTTCTTCAGTTCAGTGTCCTCAAACTCAAAACTTTTGCACTTTCTAATAATCTTATCATTATTATTAGAAAAAAAAGAAAATGAAAGTGAAGTAAGGGAAAAACGATGGGACCAGGGTGCAATAAACAATGAAGTTGCTTTTTAATCCAAAATGGGGTGAGTGTGGCTTTTTCTTTTATTTTGGCCCATGCATTTACCACTCTCTCTCTCAGTGCCCTTTCCCTTCATTTTATTCATTGATTTCAAAGCCTCACTCACTTTGTCTCAACAATTCCAACATACCACCTAGTGTCCCTGCATGAGGGTTGAAATTACGATAATGCCATTTATTGTTGAGACAGAGAAAGGTGCACAATGCATAATGCAATAGGACAAGTGTTAGCTGACACCTTTGGGATGATACTGTAAAAAGAGACTGCGTTTCTGCGGCTGGGGACATGGATTCCCCCAACATGCTTCTTGCTCTTTATTTCCCTCTTATCTTCTACACTCTTTTTTTAATTCTCTTCTGTTAACACGTAACATATTGTGAGAAAGAAAAGCATCAACTCAAATTTATAAACTTAAACAAATTATTATATTTTATTATAATTATTAATTATGTAGGTTTTTTAACAACTAATTTCTGGTTTTATATAAAAAATATTTTTATTTTTTATTAAAAATTAAATTGAATCTTATTTTGTATATTCAATATTTCATAAAAAAAAAGTATGATTTTAAGAACTAAAGTATTTAACTCGTCCAATTTTAAAACTAATTGAAAAAATTACTGATAATTTTTTATAATAATATAACTAAAACTAACAAGGAAAAAAATCTTAATTAAATTATTATTATTATTATTATTATTATTATTATTCTTCAAATTACAAATATTTAAAAGTAATTGTATTTGAAACGAATAAGATCGGCAGATCTCTCACAATATTTTTCCCCCAATGTACAATCTAACTCTTTAATAAATATTAGAAGAGAAATCATTGTTCATCTATAAATATTTTTTGAGATATTAATTAGCTCTTTATTAGAAATGCAAGAAAAAAAAAAGGAATGAAAGAAAATTATATGATTCTAAATATATATCACATATTTTAATGAGACAATTTGGTTAATATTTAACTAAAATATATTGATAAAAAAATATTATACATCGTTTAATTATAAATTGTTAAAATTAAAAGGCTTGACTATTTTAATGATTATTTTAAAAGTTTTTAAGTAATTGATAATATATAATATTTAGATTTATAAGGTATTAAATTTGAATTCCAACAAAAATTTTAACATTTCTTAATAAGATTGCTAATTAAAAATATTTAATAAATTGTGTATTATATCATATCTCAAACCGTTAATTTTTTTTTCTTAAATATAAAAATTTAGAATATCTTGTTCCAATTTTTATAGGAAATTGATTTAATTTTATTCTTTAAAAAATATATAAATCATGTGATTTTATGCTTCCGCGAGGGAATATCGTTTTTATTAAATATAGGAATTATAATTGAATAAAACTAAAACAAGAAATTGTAATAATTTCAGGAACAGTAACTGATTGAAACATTTTTAAAATGAAGATTTTCAGTTTTTATCAATTAATTTAACATGAAACTTTAGATTTTCATATACTTAATTTGCAACTTTATCTTTTGTATATAATTATTTTTTTATCTATCTTTTATGATTAACATACGATTTTTTATTTTAGTTCTCTAACAACTTTAATTGAAATTTAATTCCTCAAATTTTTAATTATTATAATCAAATCATTATATCAAATTTTCATTTTAAAACTCTCAAGTTATAACTGTTTTTCTCCAAAACTCTATAAATTAAACTTTAAAAAAATTACCTTTAGCTCAAAACTTAAAGGATCATTATTTGAAAAGAAAACGCTAAGAGTAAAACCTTTATTCTTTAAAATCATCGAAGTTGCATTAGCTCCCATGTCAAGCAACGTATACATTTTTTATTTTTTTGTTGTCAATTGACGTAAATATTGTGTTGTCTATACATTTTTTTTTTCTTAATACACTTCTTAATATATTATAGGTGATTGTTATGGTATTTACAAACTTAAAAGAATATTATATATATTTTTAAATTGATGATGATTATTTTTTAATATTTTAAAGATTAAAAAGTATTTATATTTTTTAAATAAATTATTAATCTCACTGTGTATTAATATAAAATTAATGATTATAATTATTTTGCGAAAGTACATAAAATACGCTTTTATTTTACAAATCGCTGTATAAATTACCTATATTTCTATTTTCATATCTAACATCTGATGCAACTTAAATTTTCTACTACTAATATTTGATATATTGGTGAATGGTGCGACAGGTTCAAGATTTGTTCGATCCTTTTTTTTTTAACAATTTCAGAAATGAAAGATGAACCCATTAGCTCCATTACAACTGTTTCGGCCCAAACACTATTAGAGTTTAGTACACAAATTTGGGCTCAAAAATTCCTTAGTCCCATATGCACACATCATGGAACAGTCAAAAGACTTGAGACCTCCCTTTAAAAAAAAAAAAGAACTAATAAATAAAAAAGAGACAGACAGAGTTTTTTTTTAATAAATAAATATTTATAAATATCTCAGGATAGTAATTGAAAATTCCAAAATATATATATTTTTATTTGAATCAATTATTAGGAAGGCTTTTCTTTGTCATGTCAATTCTGAATTCACTCATATATATGACTAAAGGTATGTTAAACAGCTGTATTGAGCCACGACAAGAAAATTCTGTTACATTGAAATATGGAGAAGTTAATATTGATTGTAAAGTTTATATAAATAATTTTGATTAAAAAATTGAAACGTAAAACGTTTATTATAAGTTTTTAAAATTTTAAAATTATTTGAAATAAATAATTGATTACAGAAAAATTATATTATTTAGATCATATATGAATTCATAAGAAAATGCGGCACAAAATATACAAAATGCATGATTAACTGAGAAATATATATTTAGAGCTATTAAACGAAGAGATGGTAAGGTAATTTCACGCGTTTTAAATAAAAAATGGCCTGTATACGAATTTTTAATATAATTTGTTACCATTTAATTTTTATTATAATTCTCAAATTTTTGTTTATTGTATAATATCAATTATATATTCAGTATTACAAAATTACCAATGAATTATAAATTAGTCTTTTGGTTCAGTGACAAAATATAATTTAAGAAACATCAATAAAAAAACAATAGGATATTCACACTCACAATTAAATATGCTATACAAGCCGACAACTATGTCAGAGATCATTTATTACGAAAAATAGAAAATGATAATTGATTTTTATGTAAATTCTGAAAATATATGTCTAAAAGAGAAGGGTAGTAAAAAAATTATTAAATCATAATTAAATAATTAAAACATGTCCGGATAGTAACACAAATAGAGAAGGAAAAGCAAAAGCAAAAATTAAGAGATCTTTTTTTTTTTAATCAACGAGTCTTAAATGACACATTTTATTCAATATTTTTTATTAAGTGTTGATTCTGAGTAAAATAAATTTACAAAGATTGATATAATTTAGAAGCTAGTAATTAGATTTGTCAAATTCAGTGTTTTAAATAATTTATTAAACGAAATAGTGTTTAAGGTTTTTTTTAAGATGAATGTCTTTTAAAATAATATATTATATTAAATAGTCTTGTTAACGAGTATTCCAAACATATTATTTTATAAATTATTGAATAATAATTTATTGTTTACAAATAATGTTTAAAAATCAAAATATGCTGTGACCACACAGATTGAAAATTATAGAATAATATTTTAAATAAAATAGAACAAGATATTGAATTAAGCAACAAAAAAATAACAAAAATAGTTATTTTTTTTCCCGTTCAGTGACCAAACACTTAGTATATACTTTGGAGACATAAAGAGAAATCCAAATAACTAAATCAACAAATAAAAAAAGGAGCAACTAGAACAATGACAACCAAGTCTTAAATTTTTGCCATGACTGTTGTAGTCAATACAAATAAAGAAAATTTATAAGAACTTTGTTCCTCTTAAATTTGTGAGTTCAATTGATGATTTGAATATATTTATTTACAAAAATAAATTTTAGAATCTGAGGTGAACAAATTACTATTTAAACAGAAGAAACACTTACATAACATTCTTTAACTAAACATGACAAGATAATAGAATTGATAAATGTAGGATAGAAATAGAAAGAAAGAAAGGACAGAAATGGAAGGTAGGATTTTGGTTTAGTGAAGGTGGGGATCAATGGTTTGCAATCTCCAAATTGCAATCCTAGTTTGGGGTATTGGGGTCCTACAAATGGATGATAAAATGAAAATTGGAGGGGCAAATAATGAAGGAAATGATGATGGACCCAGCCACAGGGAACCTCTTTTCTCCTCTCCACATCACACCCACCCATGACCATTATACCAAAAGGGGTCCCACACAATCAAACAGTGCATTGCAATACAATGGCCCACAATTTATGACACGTCATTATCTCCCCCTGTGTCTTCGTGAGTCATGACAGGTCCTAAGATTCCATGTTACAACCTCATCACTCGCCTAAATTAGCCCAACCGTTGAACCCCGCGTTTACTCTCTCTCTCTCTCTCTGCAACTGTATTCCCCCCTTCCAATTTCTGAGAAGGTGGGAGAGAGACCCCAGAGAAATTCGACTCACATCTCTCTAGGGGTTTTATCTCATCCATCTCTACACATTCATCCACGGCACCGCATTTTTTTTTTTTATTTCTGGAAAAACCCTAGATATCGCAGATTAGAGGGTGCGTTTGTTTTCTGCCGAAGAAGAAGAAAGAGAGGATTTTGGGCTCGACCCAATTCGATTGGAAGGGTCCAGATTCAACGGGATCGTTTAATTTTAATCGGGTAATACCTCGACGAGAAGGGGGTAGATGCGGAGAAACCCCCCTTTGGAACCGGAAGCCCTAATTGATATACGAATCGTTCTTCTAAATCGATGGATTCATCGTTTTCACCCTTGGGTTTTCTGATTTTCGGTTTTGTTATTAGCTTTTATGCGTCTGTGGTCCAATCCCGGATGCAAGATGAGAACAACGGTGCTAAATCAACTTCACCTGCGTTAATGGTGTCAACACCGCCACCTCCGCCGCCTCCTCCTCCTCCTCCGCCACCTCCGCCGCCTCCATCAACACCTCCTCCGACGCCTGGTCCTGCACCTTCGCCCGGATCGGCGCCGCAGTATTCTTCCATGAACGATAAGCCCAAACTGAGAAGATCGCCGCCACACCATCACCATCGCCGCGTCCACTTGCCGCCGCCGCCACCACCGCCCCCACAGGGGATGAATGCGGGGAAAAAGGTTGGGCTTTTGTTTGTGGGCATTGCGGCAATCATGCAGGTTGGTATGGTTGTGTTCTTGGTAATCAAGAGAAGGCAACTTTTGAAGACAAGTGACAGATATGAGACTTGTCCTTGAAAATTTTATATTTTTTTTATCATCAATTCTTTTTTTAATTTAATGGGTTGAAATTCTTTGCTGAATACGTTATAGTTGGGGAAGGGGGATGTTGGCTGAGATTCTGCAGAATCTGTGAAGAACATGAAAAAGCGACATTGGGAAGAATTGGATTTGTGGAATCATTGGAACACGAATTGTGTGCATTTTGATGCCATCATTTAGGCCTTCGACATTACTCTGTATATTGGTATTGTTAGTTGACGTTTCCTTCACGCTTCGTGTTACCCCCCTTTTCCTTAGTTTCTTTACATTGGCCTATAATGACAGAAAAGATGCTCCCTGTACTTTTATTTTTTAATTCATTTTTCTCTAACTTGTTCAGTGTACAATGATGTTAGGAATCTTTGAAGGATTAACAATGACAAACTCTTATATTCTTTGTTTTTTCACCCCCAATTGATGTCTGATTGTTCAATATCAGCATTTGTCCTTGTGTCTAGTTTAAATCACGACTTTTGTGATTAATTATTCGGTTGTTTCAAACGGAATCTGTTGTCTACTGTTTAGCGCACTCTAAAGACATCACCTTTTCTTGTCTTTGGGTGATAGCTAGAGATGATTTTCAGCTTTGCTACCTGATAAGAAAATGAACCGCTAACTGGCTTCAAAGGGGCTTAAAGTTAAACTCAACCTTAATTAGGTGTATACCTCCACATGGAGTATTGTGTATGTCTCGAGGTTGTTCACAATTTGATTTTTGAAGCTTGCCTTTTGAGAATACTATTTATATGATTGTAAGTAGGTTGTTTATGAAACATTATGGTCATTGTTTGATTCATTTAGCCCACCACCTTGAAAATCCTGAAAAAGTGGATTAAATGCAGAAGTTATAATTAGTAACGTTGAAATAAACGTGGATCTATTGACATTTCAATGTGAATCCAGACATACTGAGTGCATGTTTGGATTTATGCTTAAATTGCATATTTAAACTTGTTTGCACTGTAGCATTTGATTATTACGTTCTGTATTTATCTAGACAGTCATCTCTGTTTAAGCCACTAGATGTTAGGTATTTGGATGGTGAATGTTGAAGAATGCAGTGTGTTTGTGTAATTACTATCTCTATTATTAACATTAATTTGCACTAAAAAATCAACTGGATTTCTATTTGTGTTTGGATAACTTTGTGCACTTAGTGGCTTGTTATTTTAGAGTCTAATTTGTTGTTGTGTTGGATCATGATGTGTCATGCATGATTAGATTCACCAAATTTTGATAACTAGGATACAAGGCTTTACAAACTTGTTGAACTTTTATAAAGAAGGCATTTTAAACTTTCATTGCACATGCATTTTTTCATTTACTGGAGTTTCTTTTTCTCTTTAGATGGTCGGTGTATAGTTGCAGAAACCTAGTTTATGGTATCACTTTGGTAGGAATTACCGATTATATGTTTGGTACTCAATTGTACTTTATATTAAAGCAGCAAGTGCAATACATGGAAAAGAAGTTGAATTTTTTTTTTTTAATACCCTGACACTTCCGTATAGATATTTCCTAGTTTATAAAATTTTATTATCTGAACCGAATATTATGATGCTAATGAAGAAAGCTAATTCAATATATTTGTCATGCCTGATGTTTTGATTGTTGGGATCTGAGTTTGTCGTTCATGGAACTTAAATTGAGTAGGTTCATTGCTGTTAAGTCGGGTATGGTATTCATTTGATAACTTTTCTTGTTCAACTTGCCAACCATATTTATGGTATAAATGCATATACAAAGTTAGAAAAAAGTTGAAAGGTCTTGAACAATAACAATAGCAAGTATAAATATTATTTCGGTAGTAGTTGGGACCATGTTACACTTAAAAAGTGTAATTTTTTGAAGGCATGTATGTCTTGCAAAAAAATTGATTTTCATGCTTACTTAAAAAGTGACCCCTTTTTATGATGCTATACCTAAATGTGATTTCAGTCTCATTGAACGCTCAAAGTAATTTCCTTTTTCACGTTTGATGTCCTCGAACTGCCAAGGTTATAAATTTCTTGTTGAGTTTGTTCTAGCCAGTCATGTGGGATGCAGCGTGTTAAAAAGTTTTACAGGACACACATGTTAAAGACTTGGACATTTTTATCTAGACAATGGATATTCTTTAGAATTTAATTTATTAGTGTAAAGATTTTTTTTGTTATCTAATTATGAATTATTATACTAATAAAAGTTATTACTTTTTGTAATAATTAATATGAAAATTTTATGAACAATGTGTTTTAATTGTTTGAAAGTGTAAAATTTTTTATACTGATAATGCATACAAGTTATATTTTCTAAAGTAGGAAATTTTGTATGAATTGTACGAATAATTTTAATTGTAAAGATATTCGTTTAATAGTAATTTGTCCTCATTTCTAGTGCTAATATACATAGATGGAAGCTTCCTACTAATGCAAGTTTTTCTTTGTGAAAAGATATCTAAGAACTGTAGACTTTTGACTTGATGAACTATTAATTGATGGTGAGTAATAGGTCCAACATGCAAGAGTTGCTTGTATTTGATTTTTATTTCTTATGCAACAATAATCTGCCACACCCCCAATTTTTTATTGCATGTGTGCTCGTCTAGCTATGTTAGTCTTTGCACATAGAACAAAAGAACAAGAGTCTGTTCATTATAAATTTTAGTAGAATTAATTATGATAAAATAAAAATGGAAAGAATTAGAGTTTCAAAATTGATTTATACTTAGAAATAATATTTAAAAATGATGTGTTGGGGAGAATTAATTTTACTTCAGTTATAAACTATAATTATTTTCAAAGCATACTGATGTATTTTGTGAATATCATACTTAAAATCAAACTTTTTCAACAAAAAACTAATTTTTTCGACTTTTATCCAAATCAATTCAATTCTATCAAGTTCATAATTGATTTTGAAGTCAAAAGAATGTTACCAAACAAAATCACTCTTATCACCCGTATGGAAAGAGTGAGATTTAGTTACACTAGATAAAAATGAGATGCGGTTGATTTAAAATAAACAAGTAAACAGCTGAGAATTTGAAGATGAAAATGAATGGAAATTTAGAATGTAAACTATTCCAGTTAGAACAATTTAATTTCAAATTCTTCTCAGCGTTATTATGAAACATAATGCACACTTTAATTGAATGTGATCTGTACTAGGTTTCACTCAATGCTATGCTTGCATATGCTGACTATGCTAAATGAAATTCCACTGTACAATATACTGTATTACGTGAATTATCTACCAACAACTGAGAGTCACATGACAAACAGCAATTATTTCTTCCAAAAGTATACGACAATTATTTTTCATTTGCAACATCTATTTACCTACTAAATTTGTTTTTATGCTTGTTTAACATGCATGTGAGTTATGTCTAATTTACTTTTGTTTGAACACCCTGACATTTTTCTTGTCAATAACACTCTGTTACTTGATCTCAGATCCGATTCACATTTGTATGAACATAAAACACAGCCCAATTTTGTATACCCCTTTTAAGGTCCACCATTTTGTTGGGCTTAAACATAGGTAATCGTCATACACACAAAAATTAAAGGCAAAAATATTAGTAACAAAGGTCGAGGTTGACCAAAAAAAGTGACAAAGCTCAATATGCCTATACCTAAGAAAGAAAGGAAGAAAGAGAATCCACCCAAAAAAGGGCTTCAATGCACCTTGGTCTTCAGTACGTTTGAGTCCACATGAATATTGGGGCATCAAAGAGTGTTAAAACTTAAAACAAACCAACATCTATAGTGTTTATTAAAAAATAAATAACAAACTCTCACATTAATTGACATCATTTGAAATTTTTTTAATATTTTTAAAATTAATAGAGGCATTTTTTTAAAAATTTTTAATAAAATGATTTTGGGTGTGAACCCCAGAAATATATCTATATTTACACTTCAAAGGTAATTTTACTTTATCATTCAAACAAGATCCGTTTTCCTCTAATCATTTTGAAAATATCATTTCCAAACACATTGATTTTACATCAATTTTATTAATTAAAATATAAAACAAACCAACCTTTGGTAATACGGCATCAAGCTCGTTCAATGAATGAATGTGAAGAGATTCTTGTTACGGTATAAATTTTGTTTTACAAATATAAGAGCGTAGGCTCAATTTTTATTTAACAGGTCATGTTTGACTACGTTTATCACAATATGTCATTTTTCAATAAAATGAATTATTTTCCCGCGTCAAATTACGACCAAAACAAACACGTTCTTAGGTGGACAAAAAGCAGAAACAGGATTACAAAAGTGATTGATTTTAAAAGCACTTGCTCTTAATGCTTTAAATAAAAGACGTACAAGTTACAGGTCATTTTTTAGGGGACTTTACAAAGTGCTTCAAAGAGTTATAACCTCTCTTTTCATTTATGTGCCCTTCTTTATCCATTTTTGCATGTCATTTCTTTGTTTCTTTCTTTCTCCCACCCCCCTTTACTTCAAATTCCCTCCTCAACTTTCCATCATCTTTTTCCTTTTATTTCTCTCCAATTAATCATACTATTTTTACCAAACTCATCTACTGTAAATCACTTACCATATTTGCTTTAGATTTAAATATGTTTTAAACTTTTAAATTTTAATTGAGCTCAGATCACGTGTTTAATCGATATTTGAAAGAGTAATGCTGCTATTATGTCTATTTGATTCCCAGACTTCACAATTATGTATGCTAGCAGATTGATGTTGATATATAGCTTAGAATTTTACACGTGGCATATCAGGGGTTTCTTTGGCCCACATAGTTTGTTTTTCTCATATATATATATATACACATACATGGGTGATATTTTTGTGCATAATGTATAAACAATATTTGTGATTGTTTCATCCCTGCATGTCAATGTCTGTGTGGCTTCTTCGGAGATTAATCAGGTTGAGAAATTTCAATGTGATCTAAATTTACTTGATTCTAGTTATTTACATTTCGATATGACAGTAAAATTTTAATATATGACATAATATGAGTGAGTTGAATTATATGGTCTCAGATCACCAGATAATTTTTTAATCATATTAAGGTAACATTACCCGCAGATATTATTGTTAATTTTCAAATTTCATGTGAAAATAGCTAGGTTTATTCAACTGCAACAATCAGCTACCATTTTAAAACCTTGAAAACCTTGAACTTACTGTCCAATATGGCTGAAATTTGGAGTAACCAATGAATTGTGTTGGCTCAACTTTAACTGTATATTTGATTGGTGGAAGAAGGGGAAGAAAAGGAGAGATATTTATATCAATTTTTTTTGTTTGATTAAAAAAATAAAGGGAAAGAGGAATTTAAATTACTTTTCTTATTTGACACGTGTTGAAAAGGTGGGAGAAGGAAAAGTTAAAGGGCAAAAATTAAATTTTTTAAAATAATTTTTACTTTTTTGTTAATTTGTTATTCATATTTTTTTATTTTAAATTAAAATAAATTATAAGAAACTTAGAGTTAACACAACGTATGAGGTCTTATTGTGTTTATTCAGTGGAATCAATTTATTTAGCAGAAAATTGCTACATACAAATATTTCAATATATTAATTTTATACGGGTAACAATTACTGGGCAAGATATTTGACATTTTGAATTAATTTTTTAATTTATATTATCTTTTAGAGTTTATTTATTGCATTAAAAAAACAAGACTAAAAAATTAATATAATTTAAACTACTTCAAATTAGATTATTTTGGTCGAACAATAAAAATAGTGATTGAAAATAAAAATATTCTACTAACTGCATAATTTGGCCCTTTTCTTGTTTTCACTAGAATGTTGTGATTATGAATCACTTATTTTGCAATACATTTTCGTATATTCACTGATTAGAAAACAAACATGCCCTTTTGCAAATTTTGGTACTAGGTTAAATTGATAGTTTCTCGCACATTTGCTAGAAGTATATTATATCCTCAATTTAGAGTGATTTCTTTTCTTCTACCTTTTTTCTCTCTCTCTCTCTCTTTCTCTTTTTTTGTATTATAAACATGCGGTTTTTTGGACAGAAAATTGTTGAGATAAAAGTTTTAAAAAGTTGGTGATAAAAATAGAAGTAAGAGAAAGCTTAAAGAACTAGTAATTAGCAATGATTTCTTTCCACAACTTTAGGAACTGTCTTGAAAATATCTTCATAGTAGTACAAGTAGCTGTTAATCACATTAGCATGGGAAAATCAACAGTTAATTACTCTATTTTTCCTTTATAACACGTATAAAAATAGTTAATTAAATTCATATTTTAAACTTTTAAGTATAATTTGATTTTTAAAAAATATTAACCTCAAATTTTCAGGTTAAATTTAATCAACTATTAAAATTAATTTTATTTAAAAAGTTAAAAATCATCTTCTTTAAATTCTTAAATTCTAGTCAAACATTATATATTATTGTATTAAATAAGTTTATCATCACCCCTTTTCTGACACGTTTCAACTTCTGGTTTTGAGCTATGCATCCATTAATATCTTTCAACAATGGATTCACCTAAAAATTAGATGACCTACCTGATTTCTGGCATGCTAGTAATATTTACATTTTTCACAAAAGGTGGTTCATGAGGGCACTGTAATTTGCAAATAAATAAATACCCCCGGGGGTAGAGAATAACTAGTACAATTGGCACATTGTACCTCTTCTGCTGCAACTTCTTCACTTTTATCTTTGTTAAAGATCTTTGAACAACTCCAAGATTGCAAACGCTTTTACTCCACAGATTGCATTAACCTAGATCTTATTCATTAAAGTATTTGGGTTATGAAGAATGATGTTCTATTATCGCTTACCCAGACACCCTAAGTTGATTGCACAATGCAAAATCTAAACATTGCCATGTCCATATTTTTCTTAATAACCCCTTTTACTATTTTATAAAAATCATATATTTATTGAATTTAATTTAAATGCACTTTTTACATTATCTCTCAATAATAAATTGTAACATAAATAAAAATAGTTCATTTTTGTAATAATTGATATAAAAATTATATTTATAACATATTATAATTAGTAGAGAATGTAAAGGATTACAACACACTAAAATTAAACTCGTATTTATTATCTTAAAATATAAAATATATTCAATATTTTTTATTTACACAAGTAATCAAATGTAAATATTCAACGAAACCAACAATTATGATAAACCTAGTCCATTGGATGAGTTAGATAAATTTGTTGTTGTTGGAAAGTGTCGCATCCTACTAGTCCTAACAGTAGCAGTAATATATGCAAATATTCATTGCACATGTTCCCTGGCTGGGTCCATGCACATAACACAGGTTCAGAAGAAGCACAAACATCAGAGCTAATTTGAATTGTCCTTGCTACCACCCATTAAAAGCAGACTGCAGAGCAACTTAATATGCTTTCCAGTCAAACAACATAGTGAGCAAATCTGAGACATGTTTTTTTTTTTTTTCACTTTTCTTCAAGGGGAAGAAAGAAAGAAGCATATATATAATATATAAATATCATGCAAAGCAAAGACACAAATCTAACTGTGGTCCCCTACATAACACAATAACATCACACCTTTTGCAAAAGAAAATTCACCCCAGCCACAAAACATTGATCTTTATCTATAAGTCTCCTTGGCCGTATCCACCAGCTCATCATAATAACAATAAAAATAAAAAACGTCATTCAATCTGCCAAGGATAAAGGAGACTCAATAAGTACAAATAATTTTATAGGTAAAACATGAAGTATAATAGAATATATTAAAAAGGGTATGATAATGAGAGGGAAGCAGGATCATCACCGGTTTGGATTCTGGAGTTGGAAGCAAGATCTAGCCATGAATCTGTATTCTTTGGGGGCCACTCCCCAAAGAAGTGATGAAGGGGTCTTTGGCTTGTCTCGGTTTCTTTCTCTTTGCTTGGTCTTGTTGATTTGAAGTCAGTTCCCAAAACAAAGCAGTGTTGTTGTTGTTGCTCTTGTTGTCTTGGGTTATCATTCATGTTCTGGAAGCTGGAGTTTGAATAGGACTTGTATGAGCTCATTGATAGGTTTTGATATGAATCAGGATAGCTCCTAGCAGACCCTGAAGCTTCTGGGAAGAAAGCTCTTTCATCCACACTCTCCCTTATTCCATGAACATGCCTAGTAGCAAGAATCAAGTTGAACACAACACAAAATCAATAAAAAGAACAAAGCTTTTAGAACACAAGTAGTATTTTTGTACACACCTATAATCCTTTTCATCCTGAGAATAAGACCCGGAGTCCATAAAAAGGTGATGGGTAGTGGCATCTTGAGGTGGAAAATCAGAATCCGGGGGTCTAGAAGAGGTTGATTGGGAGTAAAAGAAGGGATTTTGGTAAGATTGAGAAAAGGGTTGAGACTCACAAGGTATAGAAGAAGGCAATGGAGAGAAAGGGAAAGAAGAGGGTGAAGTGATGTTGGGATTGGTCAAGGAAAGGTTTCTGTTGTAAGATTGAGAGGAGGGATTTGTGGCGGTGGTTGTAGTTGAAGAAACTTCCACAGGCTTTCTTGAACGGTTTCTGCCTCTGTGCATGTGTCTTTCACAGTACTTTGAGTCTGGATATGCTTCCTTTGAGCATCTCCATTTCTTGCCATCTGTTCTTCTGCACCTTCCTGGTTCTGGGTCTACTTTTCTGCCAAATCCCATTTCAAAACATCCCCACCCAACTGCAGCCAGAGTTATGACAAACCAGGCTCTAAATTTTATTTGTCCCGCATAAAAAGTAGCCATATAATAATATCCAATAGTGTACTTAAAAAAAAAAACCAATAATAGTATAGAATATATAGTACGCTAGCAAAACACTTACTGGGATGATGTGGGAAAAGCCTTGAAGAAATTGAAGAGTCTAAACTTCTTTTAATAGAGAATATGAGATCTGGTGGAATAGGTGTTCCTGTAACCATGTACTTAAAAACAAGAGCTTGTTGTTCAAGCTCTTGCCACTGAGTTGGTGTGAAAGGAGACCTATTTCTTGCACTTGCACTCGCACTTGCACTCGCACTCATCATTTTGAGACAACAACGTAGATAGACAGAATATGTGTATGTTTCCCTAAATATTGATGAAGAAAGAACAAGAACAAAAACAAAAACAAAAATTTGCAATTTTTTTTTTGGTGGGTATGGTAAGGGACTAAGAGGGGGTGTTTCAATTGAATGGGTTGCAGATTCTTCTTCTTCTTCTCCTGTGCATGGGGTGTGAGAGTCTGATGATGCTTCTGGCTTTCTGCCACCTCTTCTTCTCTCTATTTCTCTAATGTGGTGGATGGGTGAGTGAGTGAGTCTGCTCTTATAATGACTGCACCTCTGTTGCTTCTGTTTTTTTCTCTGCAGCTGCCTTTGTTGCTGCCCTTGTCTCTGACATCTTTACAGAAATCCATAAACAAATGTACAAAGGAAAGAAGAAAAATTAAATTCAAATGCATGTTAGTCCATGCACCTTTGGTTTTGCTGTCTCCACATCAGTCATGGAAAATAGTGCCATGCCATCCATCCGATTATAAGCTGCTCAGCAATATCAATCTCTTTTGCAATCCGAGGGTATGGTAACTTTTGCATATGAGAAAGTCTCGTACGTGTCATTTTTAATCTTTTTTGGCTTAAGCATGCGTGGCGTTATCTCATTGATAGATTTGGAGGCCAAGCCTAGAGCTGCATCATGCTTTTTTTGGGTACGGATTTATGCTTTCTCCTTTTTCACATTTTCTCCCCATAAGCATCTCACTTTCTTAAGTGGAATTCGGGTTACAATCAATTTGGCCTCTAACCTCTCATTGGCTACCGTCATGTCAATATGTCATAACCCTTTAGTTTCATTTTTTGTTAATGTTATTATTATTCTATTTAAACATGATAATCCCAAGCCCAACTATGTGGCAACTAACCATTAAAGTATGACATAGGTGACAATAATTAAATATAAATGATTATTTTTTACTAGTAACTTTGAAAAGAAAAAAGATATTGAAGCTGGTTGGGACAGTGGAAGTAAAAGACTATCGGATAGAGGGAGGTTCGGAGTTGTTTGCTTGCAATTGAAAGCACTTGTCTTTCTCTGAAGAGGGGGTGTCAGGAAAGTGCACTCTGAGGTTAAAACTGTTCACACTCTGTTGCTCTGCCCCAAAACACATGCTCTCCTCCTTTATTTTGACACACCTAACTGATCCTTTCACTCATTAACCCAAAAATTTCCTGAATTACATTTCCCTTCAGCTTATCTCTTTCCATTTTTGTTATTTGTGAAGTATTTCCTCCCTGACTCGCTGCAGCCTTAAAATTCAAAAGATCACCTGCGATTTATAAGAGGTTTTTCTTTCCTTTGACTGGGAATGCGAATCACACTACGCTCCCACTTCTATCATTTTCCCTCATACAAGTGCTTTTTCTTTGTATGTATATTTGAAAACACATTAAATATTCCATGAATGCGAATTTGTATGTGTTTTAACTCAAAACTAAACACCCTTCTGCTCTTCTGCCATGAATTCATTTTTATCAACCAAAAACTTAATTTCCTTTAGCAGTTCACTTGATTTAATGGTGAGATCCTTTTCGACCCGTATTTGGGGAAAGGGATACCTTTTCCCTTCTGTGACTTCATCTCGTGAGGGATGATCTTCAATTTTGCTGTGAGATCGGGTGTCAAACAAAAGGGTTATTCAAGTTGTATTCGTTATCGTTCTTCTATTTTACAATTCGGGGAATCGAGAATAATATACAATGTGAAAATAAATAAGGGGAGAGTGGTAGTAAGTTTGAGATATATGCTCAGTTTGATTAAAAATATTTTTATAAATTAAAATTTCTTTTTTTTTAAAAATATGAGATAAATAAGTTGATTTTAATTTATAAAAAAATATTTTTTTCTCCAAAATTTTTTTTACAGCAACTCAGTTTAAATTGGGTTATAGTTATGAACTCATGTTTCTCCTCAAAAATCTAAGAAAAATATATAATTTTTATTAGTATATATTATACACAAAATATTATTTTTAGACAAATATTAAAAAAACCAAAAAGTAATATCTAAATAAAAAATTATTTATACTTGCATATATCTTTATTCATACAATTTTTGTTTGGCTAATGAACTTTGACAATAATTGATAGACATTTTATGAAAATAATTTATGATATTTATTTATAATAACATCTCTCTGAAGAAAAAGAGAAAGCTTGCAGAAAAATTGAGAAAAAGCACCAAGAGAATCTTTTAGTTTACACAAATGGGCTAACATATTAATGTTTGTATTATTAGACTATTTTTCGTCAAACAAATGTTTTATTAGTCAAAATAAAATTAAAAAACGAATATATTTTCTTTTTCTTTGGTAGAGATGGTTAAGCTTTTAACCCCTTCAACGCCTACTTACGATTGTATGGGTAATAGAAAAATGTTGATATTTATTCAAAACACTTCACTCGTACACTTGTCTGTTCTCACAATTTTTTCATGTAACTACGACAATTGACACTACTTAATCTTTTGGAATATTTCATAAAGTTATGAAAGCACAATTTGATAATTGATAAATTCTATTTTAGTCAAATGTAAGCCGAAATTTCTTATTTTGGCACACATAATGTGAGAGAAAAGTTAGCTGCATGTGGTGGAAACGGTGACTTTTTTAGTCTTTAAATTTTGGGATAACATATTAGAAAATAAAAAAATATCAATCTCGCGTATATAAATAGTTTTATGATATGAAATAAACATTTATATATACCCCTGCATCACACGAGCATGATAATAAGTTATTTAATTTTTAAAATATGTATTTAATATCGTGAATTTTTAAAGAATAAAATTAATGCCAAATAAATGTGTATAAAACTAAATAATGAGTTTCATTTTTTGTGAAATAAATGGTAGCACTTAATTTATTAAAATATAATAGTTTAATATTAAAAAGATGCTTTTTGGTATTATAATTTGATGGGTGCAGAGCAGAGAACTAAACAGAAGGTGATAAACTGCATATCTGATCCAATTCCGACTTTTCCCTAAGCTGAGTCAGTGGTGTACACAGGACATTATAATTTTATTGTTGACAGAACCTATTCTAAAACAGTAACTTTAGCTTTACAGAAACATTGCAGTCGTAGATTTTACATTATTTTAATATATATTTTTTTTTCATTTGTCTTCATCTGAGGCCCACTTTCTTTTGTTTTATAGTCTCTGTGGTAATGATCTTGTGTGAGAAAAATAATCGATTCTAAATAAATTATTAGATGCTTGTTTCAAAATGAGTTACCATATCATTTCTACTTTTTAATATAAAGAGAGGACATCGATTTATAATTTAGATTAATTTATTAAATTAATTTATCAACATCTTACCACGTCAGCATATGGTCTTTCATTAACATTTTGGTTCCATTGCTCATCCATTTAATTTCTTTTTAACATGCTGTTTATCAGGTTAATTTACTCCATAATAATACTTTAGTTACAAATGAATAAGTAACTCTATACAACTTAATTATTCTTAAGTGACTCAAATCAATAAGTGCCAGTGATAAATCCTCAGCATCTACATCAGTTAATCTCAACTACATCACCATTTTAACGAGAGATGTGCTGTACAAACCTTATTAGTTTATTTAAAATCATAAATATCTTCTAAATCCCTAGATAATTGTCCATTGTGAGTTACAGCGAAAATCCCTCCACAAACAGCAAATGAACAAAATTCGGCTAGTCTTTTTCATGTAGAATCATTGATTCATGTTGTGAAATTCAACTAACTTAACATAATGCCAATTCATCTTTTTTTAATCTGTGCTTGAGACTGTTTATTAAAATAATGATTAAAAAGCACGGCTTGGACAATAAGAAGTCAACAAGAATAAAAAATGCAGAACAAATGAGAATGAACAATTAGTGTTTCCGCTTCAGAGCATGAACAAATATAATTGATGGTATAGCTCTTTTTTCTTTTTTTGTTTAAAAAAGGGTAACAACTCACTTTAAAAAGATAGACCAGTTGCATCAGATAAATCTTAAAATAAACATGAAAAAAATCTTAAATTAAATGGATTCTTACATTAACTTTATTTGTCTGACTAACACAATTTGTTATTAATATTAAAAAAAGTAATTTTTTTTTTCATACTATGATTCTTTCACACACTTATATCCCTTTATCCCTTTTTTCATCAAATTACTCATACCAATGACTTCCTCTTGTTTTGTTTTCCAACTTTCTTCAAATGGGTGCACTATCATAATTTTTGCATTCTAAATTTGATTAAATTTATGTTCTGTAATGCCACAGTTGGCTCTGAAAGCAGTGGAAGAAAGCTTGGTCCTAGTGCATTTAATTACTGTCTTGATCATAGGGGACCTTCCTGTATCAACCATCTTTGTGGGATGATCTTCTTAAGTCGGAACTCAAATTAACCAAATCCACAGTGTTTGCTTCTTGCAACATTAATGGATATTCCATGCATATCTAGTAAGCCTAGAATGACAAAAACACTAATGATTATATTGTCATTTATTTAGTAAAACTTTTGTGTGCATGTAGTATTGGTTTCCGTAGGAAGCCAACCTTTTGTCCCTATTTATTTAAGTAAGGATATATGCTATGGTAACTTGTTTGCAGTTTCACTGTCTTTCAATTCTCATCAGAGCTTTTGTACTTTATGTCCATTTTTGTGTTCCACTAAAATATCACTATTCTTTCCTCTTTCGTTTTCCTTTAGAAAAGAATTTTAAGGGACAGCAAGGAAATTGACACATTACAAACTATTAGAAACAGTGAAACAGCAGAATCTATAGGATATGATATGAGGCAGAATCATCATTATTCATTTTGCATCGTTAGATCTTTGGCCTAGTCATTGTCCAATAAAAGTTTAAAGCGTAAAATACAAAGGAAACCAGGGAAAAATCTTTTTCACGGCCAGAGTTGTAGTGTATAGTGAACAAGAAATCTCAGTAAACTTCTGAGAAGCTTCTTTCATTGTACAAACTATCAGAAAGAGATCTTAATTTTGCAGAACTTTGTTATTTTATACCTTGTCTTCAAGGAACCCTGCATAGTGCATTTATATAAAATTAATAACAAATTATGGGCTTTCAATTAAAAGTTGAAGGTAATAACTTAACAGACTAATTCTTTGATAATTGATATGATACCAAACCTATAAAACCTCCATTATACTTGAGATCACTGGTTCTCTCATTAGTGTTATACCAATATTCTCCATTGCTTCTTTAGAAACTAATTGGAATGTAAAATCTTTAGTTGCGAAGTCCTCGCCAAAAGCTAACACCATGAAGGACAAACCGGGAATGCAATATTCCTTTTTACCATTTGGTTATGCAATAAGGTCTTCTATACCGGATGATAGTGATAAGATATCTTAGCATGAAGGGCTTTCCTCTTTTCCACTCATTTACATGGTTCCTATTGAAAGAACAGCAAAGCTTTTAGCTGTCAAAAACTGTCTGTTCATGAGCTTCCTCTTCTTCTCCCCACGTGATTTTGGACCACATCCTTATTATTAGTTTCCGTTTTCGCTCATTCTGTTATAGTTTGTTTTAGCACTGTGAAAATATCTCAGAATTCTCTGCAATTAAAGAAAATAATTGCTTTGTCTAAGAACTTATTAATTTAATAGTTAATTGCTTGACATGACACATTTGTGGCTGTTATCTTCACCCGATGTAGATTGATTGATATGTGTTACAATAATTGCTAGCAATGACTTTCCAACTTCAACATCAATTGTTTTCAGTTTGACAATAACAAAATTTGATTAATTAGCACTTTATTCAACCTCAATATATTTCCTATCTGATTGACCTTTCAAAATGTTGTCAATAATTAATAGGTGCTTTCTTTTTTCACCAAATGATTTAATTATGAAAATAGCTTTTCATTTTTCTCTGTCTGGTGCCACAGTGGGGGACCTTCTCAGCTGGAATGTTATACCGAATCATAAATTGCTAGTAAGGCTCTCATTTTGCATTTGTCATTATTTGCTGCATGGGCATAACCTAAGACTTCAACTTGCAAGAAAGCTCTTATATATAATAACATCATGTAACTTGCCATTCTCACATTATCGATTCAAACCAAATTCACTCCACCAAGATGCTTCTTCACACTGTTTTCCTCTTTTTTCTTCTCTTATCCACTTCCCATGCTGCTGTCCAAGACTTCTGTGTAGCAGATCTCAAGGGTGCAGAAGGCCCTGCAGGCTTTCCTTGCAAGGCACCTATCAATGTAACTTCGGATGACTTTGTGTTTGACTTATCTGAATCTGGAAACATCTCAAACATAATCAATGCTGCTGTAACACCAGCATTTGTTGCTCAATTCCCAGGTGTTAATGGTCTTGACCTCTCAGCAGCAAGGTTAGACCTTGGTCTTGATGGTGTCATCCCACTGCATACACATCCTGGTGCCAGTGAACTACTTCTAGTGACTCAAGGCCATATCACTGCTGGGTTTATATCATCAGCTAACACAGTTTATCAGAAGACACTGAAGAAGGGAGATATTATGGTATTCCCACAAGGCTTGTTGCATTTCCAAATAGCTGCTGGTAAGAGAAAGGCCCTTGCTTTTGCTATTTTCAGTAGTGCAAACCCTGGCCTTCAAATCCTTGATTTTGCACTGTTTGCCAGCAACTTCTCTACTCCTTTAGTGACTAAGACAACTTTCCTTGATCCTGCTATAGTAAAGAAGCTTAAGGGTGCTCTTGGGGGCAGTGGCTAGCCTTAAATATGTTTGTGAATTGTTGTTATTATTTAGCTCAATTAATTCCTTGTGTTGTTTCAATTTGTTACTTGCTCAGGTCTCTAGGTCATTGAATTGCTTGTATCAATAATGTGGAGTACTAAATTGTTTCACTTTGTTTTCCATTTCTTTGTTCCAAAATTAAATGTCAAGGTTTGAGTGTAGCCATGCTTTAAAGGGTTTGCCGATGATGTTGGAGAATCTTATCCAAATCTCACTGATTGATACACATTGTGCCCTTTCTTTTTAAAAGATGCAAGTTGTCGTTTATCATGCATGTTTTAATTACAGTTTTCCACACGTCTCATAATTATGCCTTTTTTATGGCACTTCATTAAGTTAAAACCCATGACAATATGACTTAGTTTGATTAGTAGCTTATTTGTAATTTCTCTGCAAATTATCAGGGGGGAAAGGTGAATTGTTTTAAAATTTAATTTTAATCTTTCATATAAGAAGGAAGGTTAGCAACATATACTCCTCTAACACATTCTTTTAATATAGTTTTATTTATTGGTTAAAATTTTTATTAAGTTATAAAATATGATTGTGATACTTTTATAATAATAAAAAGTGTGATAAATAGTATATTGCTAATATATATTCCTTTGAAAAATGCTAAGAGTACTAATTAAGGAACAAAAGTGGTTTTTTAGTAAAAAAAATACCCACTTTTATAATTTTTAATATATGTTAAAGTAAATTTTATATAAGATTTACTATTTATTAATTCTTTAACAAGTCACTTTTTACATGATCCTATAAGACTAATTAAGAACCAAAAGTAATTTTTTTATTATCTCTTTCAAATATTTGTACAATATTTATTAATAATTTATCATATTAATTATTAATTAATATAAGAGTAATAGTTATAAGATATCAAAATATTAATAGAGTGCACAATTCTTCTATATGATGCATGTCATGAAAATTAACATGACAGTTCATATGGTTTTAATGGCACAATTATCATTTAATATATTTTTAACCCTTATCAAAGAAGCCAAATTTCCAAGTCAAGAAATGACAAATGAAATAACATATAGTTGTGTAAAACTTGAAATAACGTTTAGAGAAAAGTACAGTTTTGGCTGAATAAAATCTCATTTATTCCGACTTACTCTTAAATTGTCATAATTCATCTCCCTTTAACAAGTAAGAAATGTTAAATCATTGGACCATTATCTTGGAACTGAAAAAGCATCACATGCAATTGGTGTTCTATCCAAAAGCTAGGCCACAAGCTTGTCACTTGTTGAAACAGCTATAAATTGGGTTTTATACTATTTATAAGTGAATATATCATTTTATTAATAATAGAGATAAGAGTCAAATTACAGGTATTAAAGGAACAGAATTGATATAACAGACGTAAAAAAGAACAGTTTATATTTGTAAGCTATAAAAAACTTCGAAGTACTCTATAAGGAGAGAGTTTATAGATAGCACTGCTCTAATTTGCTCTTTATCTTTTGGCCCCATCATAGTTTTTCCTTCCAAAGGTTTGATATTTCGTGCGTTGAATTTTCCAAAATAAAAAATAGACCAAACATGTGAACTCTTTAACAACGAAAGAAAACACAACGGAAATCAAGCTTTAGAATGCTCAGTGCGAATTCATGATCAATTATACACACACTAAACTCTTTATTTGCATAATTGTTTTTGTTTTAATTTGCTTTAACTCTTTATATATATATATATATATATATATTTCATATTTTTTTTACAGAAATTATATATCAGAAATATATCTATGCATTTATGTTTTTCAGATGCGGAATTTTGTTTTGTTCAATTAGTGAAAATGCATAAATGATGAAGGTGGTTGCATAAACAAAAAATAGCCAAATTCTAAAACATGTTACTCGAACAAAGTGGGCTTTTTGAAGTGGGATCTGAATGGCACTCAACGGACTTCATATTGTGAAGAAAGTTTGGGCTTCAGACTGGTTAGTTTGCGACGCAATCCAAAACTATTTTCCTTTTTGAGCTAAAAAAGAACTTATATATGATTATTTTTAAATAAAAATTATTATTAATTATTTTTTATTTTATAAAAATATAATAGTTGAAACATCAAATTTATTTAAAATTTATTTTAAATTAATTCTATAACCTATGTATCAAAATGATAAAAATTTAATAAAATTACAACAATTTTTAAATACGATTTATTTTAAAATAATATATTAAAATTTATAATTTCTATTGAACAAATAAATAAAAAAATTATTTAAAAATATATAAAGGAAAAAAATGAAAATGATATTGAATTTATTTTTCCTAAGCAGTACGTGCACTTAATTATCTTTAATTCGTATTGATAATTATAGTTGAAGTCAAATATGCTTCGGATCCTGAGAGATTTACTCAATCCGATTTCTAAGGGGCTTCGGATCTACCGCATATTATACCTCAAGAAATAAATACTGCAAGTGTTATCGGTAAAATAAATAATAAAAAACATTAATTAGTGTTTATAATATTAGTCAAGAAATTAAAAGTATAATTTTTATTAAAAATAAAATAATACATTCACTTGCGTAATTTTTAATAAAAAATATTCTTTATTAATTTTAGAAATTGAATAGTTAATTAAAAATTAATTGAATCTGAAAAATCAAAGCACATAAATCATAAAGTGAAAAAGACAGACGACAAAAACAAAGTAAATATCAAAATAAAATCTCTCAAAAACAGAAATGAAATCAAGGTGTGCTTATGACAATTTTTTTTCTTATTTTAAAATAAAAAATTAAATAAAGAATTAATTTTATCTTTAAATATAAAATAAAATAAAAAATGAATGATACATGCATGGGTTTCATTTTCTCTACAATAAATTCAGATTGTTATTATTAGAGCAATTTTCCATGTGATATATCAAGCTTGACTAAATTATACAGTAAGAAAAAGTAAACAGTTTGACTCAAGTTAACGTTGCCTTGACGGAGTTCCATATGCAGCTACAAATGCTGTATAACCGTATCTTTAGCCTCAAGCATGCAACAATATATATTTTTTTATAATTAATCTATTTTTTAAAAATTATTTTAATTTTTTTAAAATAAACCAATTACAAAGAATAGATGAAAAAAATATATATGCAAAAAAGAGCGTTTATAACTTCATATATCAATCACTGTTATACTTCACATTGATGCATTATATAACACTGGCAATCTCATGTCCCATTCATCCAAGATGATTCGCATTCTTTTGCTATTGTCTTTTCTCTTATCCAATTCTCATGCTTCGATCTTTGCAGACTTCAACGCTACAGAAACCCCTTCAGGCTATCCTTGCAAGTCTCCCAAATTTTTAATAAATTATACCAATAAATTTACTAAAATAAATTAAAAAATAACTTATAAAAATCATAAATTACTTTTCATTATATACTTTTCTCAACAGTTTTAAGTCATAAATCTCAAACAACCATGTCCAAAACATGCTATGATGCTAAGGGGATCTAACCCATCATTTCTAACAATCCACAACGCATATCAGAGCAAACCAAATAGACCCACATGCCTACTTTGCTTTCTTTCTAATAAATGATCCACCACTGCTGCATTGCACCTTTGCCTCCGCGGATAGAACCTTACAACACCCAACCCATTTATAACACCTCATCAAGACCTCTTATGATAAAGGATATGAGAAAAAAAAGTGTGAAAGTTTTAAATCAGAGATTTACAAAATGGTACAAGAAGCGTCATTTACTGACAATACGATCCCTCTCTTTATAAAAAGTTTGATCTTGTTGGAATCTTAACCAAAATCAATCCTCAAGCCAAAGCCGATACTTTTTCATCGAGATTATTTTTTGGATATTTTTCTATGTATACTTTTTATAATATCTTTTTATTATTTTTATCACATTATCTCTCTCATTCCACTTTTCGCTTTTTTCTTTTCTATTCCGGTACTAATTATTATGAGATAATGATAAAAAAGAATTGTGAAAGTAACTTTTCTTTCTCCAAAATGTTATGCTTTAAAACATTTATTGTTTCAATACATGACAACCATCAGTTTTTTTTTTTACACATATTTAGTACATGTCTATTTCAACTTATTTTAAAAAATATTTTTTATGTTTATCAGTTTAATAAAAAAACAAAAAAAATTATTTCTAGAAAAACTATTTCAAACATGCACTTAATCACAACTTTGGTACACGGGCCACCATAATGAGAACTGCAGCACAACACGTGAAGCACTGCATGATCGAGGGGGGAAAAAAGCCCAATTATTGCTTGTTATGGTGCTTCCAAATCTTTTGCTTGCAGGAACGTTGCAGTATCTTCGACTATGAGAGATATTAAGAAAAATTGCAAACAAGGAAACTACATATTATTTTAGCAATATTATGGAAGATAAGGTTTTACCTCAATCATGATTTCAGAATAATTTTTGGTATTGAAAATCGGAGCAAACTGGGAATAAGTTTAGAGCGATGAGGTGGTGCCAGGTTGTGTAGGTGATCACGAAGATGCAATAATGCAGAGAGGGGTGTTTGCTATATTCATATATGTGGTGGCAGCGTCGTATAATGATGGATCAATTGAGGTCTGTCCAATTCCATGATCCAACATACCCTTTTGGATAACCAAAATGATTCTTTGACGATCTATTTTGGGTATTAAATGCGTGTTGGAAAAAAGGAAAAACAGATGTGATAAATGTTAATGATTATAAAAACAAATATGAAAAAAATCGAAAAGATGGAATATGTAAGAGAAATTGACTCTTAAAAACAACAGTTAATTAAAAATAATAACATTAGTTCTAAAATAAAAATTTACTAATTTGGTATATTTAAAATAATTTTATCAAATAATGAAAATATGTAAAAGGATAGCAAACCTCAATATATATTTACCTAGCTATTAAATTAAACTTGCTCTTACTCAAGGTGTTGCCTTGTAGGGGTTGAGTAATTAGCTACTGCAAGGCTGTCTTTGGTCTCCAACTATAAATACCTATCCAATCCAACATATTTCCTTCACGCCAAATCCATATTCATCCAAGTTCCAAGATGAAGATGATTTTCATTCTCTTCCTCTATGCTCTTCTTTCATTCACTTCCCAAGCTTCTGTGAATGATTTCTGTGTAGCAGACCTGAAGGGTCCAGATAGCCCTTCAGGGTATCAATGCAAGCCACCAAATACAGTAACAGTGAATGACTTTGTGTTCTCTGGCTTTGTAGCTGGAGACACCAATAACTCATTCAATGCTGCATTAACCTCAGCATTTGTCACTGATTTTCCAGGTGTGAATGGACTTGGCATATCTGCAGCAAGATTAGACATAGCCAAAGGTGGATCAATCCCAATGCACACTCACCCTGGTGCCACTGAACTCTTAGTAATGGTGAAAGGTCAAATCACTGCAGGGTTCATGACTCCAACTGCACTTTATCAGAAGACACTGAAACCTGGTGATATCATGGTTTTCCCACAAGGACAGTTACACTTTCAGGTGAATTCTGGTGTGGGAAAAGCCACTGCTTTTCTTGCTTTCAGTAGTGCAAACCCTGGAGCACAGTTACTTGATCTTTTGTTGTTTGGTAACTCTTTACCGTCTGAATTAGTTGCACAAACTACGCACCTTGATGTTGCACAAGTGAATAAGCTCAAGGCTCGATTTGGGGGAAGAGGTGCATAGTTTGTTGTCACATTGATCAATTAATGTCAATAATAAATTTGTTGATGCGCTTGCTTGCCTTTTCTGTTTCTATGTTCCAATCCCAAATGTTAAGATTTATGGTTTCAAGATTCCGGAAAGGATAATTAATCATTAGTTGTTTAATTAAACTTCCTCCTCGTATGATCTAGAAAAATATTATTCGTTAAATATACTAACAAATAATTGAATGGTAAAGATGAATGATCCAATACTTCCTGTTAAGAGTGAGATTGAGGATTTATAACTGTTACATAATAGCAATAGTCTTCGTACAAATATTTTTTATTCGAATGAATTTTGATGATAGTACGTACTTTAATTTTCTTTTCAAGTCTTCTGTTCTCGGCCGCGATTCCGATCGTGACGCGCGTATACAAAAGGCTCAAGGAAAAACGAGAGAATATGTTGTTCCTTTGTTTGTATTTGATCTTTGGAGAAGGCGTTTCTAATCGATTTAGAAATTTATTTAGAATTTAATTATAATACAATAGAAATTTTTTATATTATATAACAATAATTAAACTTTATTTCATTAAATAAGATCGATTTCATAAATTACATTATATTCATAATATATACGTAAACGTTTACTGCTAATTATATAAAAAAAATCCTATTCTTACAATATTTATTTAATATTAATTTAATCCTTCTAATACTTATTATTTAAAACAATATATAATGAAAATAATATAAAAATTTATTTTAAAATAACGATTTTTTATTTTATTTTTAAACGTTTTAAAGTGAGATATTAAAGTGTTATTATTACTCTTATCTTTAAGTATAATGATATCCGTTTATTGTTATTTTAGATTTTTATTATATTATTTTTTTAATTTTTACAGTATTATTTAATTATTGTATTGTTTATTTACATATTATATTTTTATCATGATTTTTTAATTTATTTATGGTTATATTTTAGATTATTTAAATATTATTTTATTAATTAAGAAATCTAACTTTTTTACATCGTTGTCCTTATTTTACAAATAAATTATTATATATAAACCTAATATAATAAGTAATTATCATTTTATACTTAAATATTTTGACTATTTATTAATCTTAAGTTTAATTTATCAGTATTAAATTATGGTCCACCATTAAAATTTACCGTCTAAGCCACCTTGATTTACATATTTGAAATACAACTATTTATGAACTATGCCGACCCTCTTGGTTGCATTGGGAATTTTTTGGCTAGTAATTTAAAATGTTGGCATAAAAATGACTTACATTTATAGCTTGTGTAGATTTTTGTCTCGAACGTGTGAGATCTATGGCCCTATAAATAGCTACCCAAAATCCCACATTCTGTCGTACCAAACCATTCACGCATTCATCCAAAATGAAGAACATGGTGCTCATTATCTTCCTTTTCGCTCTTATTTCATCCACAACTTCCCGTGCTTCTAATGCCAACGATTTTTGTGTGGCAAATCTGACGGGCCCAGAAACCCCTTCAGGGTATCTATGCAAATCAACAAACACAGTAACATCAAGTGACTTTAAGTACAGTGGCCTTACCCCTGGAAACCCCTCCTCAACCTACAATATTGCATTAACCACTGCATTTGTTGATCAATTTCCAGCTGTGAACGGTCTTTATATCTCTATGGCACGTGTAGACATGGGTGTTGGAGGAGTTGTTCCCGTGCACACGCATCCAGGTGGCAATGAAATGATACTCGTATTGCAAGGTAAAATTATAGCTGGATTCATAACATCTACCAATGTTTATATGAACATTCTCGGACCCGGTGATGTTATGGTTTTCCCACAAGGACAATTGCATTTTCAAATAAATAATGGTACGACGAAAGCCGTTGTTATTAGCGCTTATAGTAGCCCAAGGCCACGCATCAATATAGTTCTTAATCTACTATTTGCCAACTTACCCGCCGACATAATTGCAGCAATCACCAAAATTAGTCCTCCCGAAGTGCAGAAGCTTAAGGCTCAATTCGGTGGCAGCGGCTAGAATCGCTAGCTAGCTTATCAATGTGTTTGTTCCCATAATAATCATCATAAGCAATAAACTTGTTTGTGTGTTCCACTATTTTTCTTTTTAAGTCGAGTCTCCAACCTTAAAGACTTGTTCTTTGAGGCTTTGGTCATGACTAATTAAATACTGCAAGAGGATTGTGCGATTCTTATATATATTATTATCTAATAATCTCTATCGTTTTCTTTTTTACCAACTTAATTAGCTTATATTCAGATATCAGTTGGATGCAATTTAACTTTAAGAAATTCTTGCATACACACGTTATTATTTGCAGTAGGAGAATGATGTGGAAGAAGGAAGCACTTTGAGCTCTGAAAGATTGTCTACGTTTGATGCATGAAAAATCCAATGAACAAAAATTCACAATACTTTAGACTTAACTGCTCACTGATAATTTCCTTTGCGTTAACATATCGACACGCCAAAAGACAAAATTAAGGGGGAATTTCGTTTACAATTCTATTATTTAAATTATTCAATAATAATATTATATCTGACGTTGTATATTATAATTTTTATTTCTTATATATATATACATACACACACGTTTATTTTAAAAATGTTACAAAAATAAAAAATGCCTTTAAAGATCTATTTGTGATGATAAAAAATAAAAAAAATCTTGTCTTTGTGTTAGACCCTCCTTGGTGTGCAGTAGACGGAGGTAAGGCCAAATTTAATGTTGTCCTTGTAAAATTAGAACTTTTGGGAATTAATTGATTATTGCATTAATATTGACAGAAAGATTACTAGGAAAGCCGCAGTTGCAGTCAAATTCTGTGGTCATGTATTGTTTGACACAAAAAACGGATTTTTTAAGGGCTATGTTTGAATTAAAACATGGAGTATAATGAAATATATTAAAATAAAAGAATGAAATAAAATATATTGGAATAAATATTCTGCTTCATTGTTTAATCTATTATGATAAAATAGAATAACATTTTTATTATATTATTTGAATAATAAACGAAATACAACAAATTATAATATTTTTATTTTAATTTTATCCTATAATACAAATAAGTATAAATAAAGTGAGATTTAAACTTTATAAACATAAACTAAGAATGTATTGATAATTTAATAATTATAAAAATAAAATTAATTAAAATTTTATCACGTACTTCCTACACTGAGGAAAACAAAAGTGAAAGTTTTAAATGAAAAAATAAATTGTTTCATTAAATATAACTTTATTCTATTAATATTTTATAATACAAATAATAAAACCATTTAAAATAATATTTTGTTCTACACTATATTTTTTTTTTCATATGTAACCTAATTCTCAAATCTTTGTTTAGTTTCTTGGTCACTTTCTTTTCCATTTTAAAAAAATATATTTTAAGACATGTTAACTTAACTGAAATTTCAATAAAATTATTTATTTGATTTTGAATTTGACTGAACTAAAACTTAATAATGTATAGGATGCGACTCAATAAACTCATTTTATAAATATAATATATAAATTTTAGCATTGTATATAACTAAATCATAAAATAAAAAATATGTAACTTCAAATTCTTATATGTAAAATTGTTATTTCTTTAAGAAAAAGTTAAAATTTTAAAATTATTATTATTTCATTATAAATTTAATTTATTTAATAAATTATCTTGTTTTTTGACATTTTAAACGTGAATAGAATATTTTAAAAAAAAATTATAAATTTAAATAAATGACATAAAATAATCGTGGAAATTGATCGAGTAATTTAAGCATAGTTAGATTCTCAAATATGATACCATTTTTTAAGAACACTTTAAAAAAAAGATTAAATATTTTTTTAATTTAATTGTGACAAGACAACAAGTTAAAAGAATTATGCTGGTTAATATATATTATTAATCAACTCAAATATATTAAGTTTGAATAATGTGAGAATGAAAACTTTTAGGGTTTATGCTTCTTTTTTTTAAAATAAATCACATTATTTCTCTTACACGAAATGCTTTTATTTTTATATTTTGATTAATTATTCTTAAATATTATCATTTAAATTTATTCAATTTCAATTATTATTTAATTTTAAATTTTAGGTTTTGACACACTGATAAAATTAACAGGCATAAAGATTACGTGTCTTGATTCAAAAAAAAAATTTTATAATTTTTTCAATTTTATAAGTCTTGTCTTGTAAATTTATTTTTACTTAAATAAAATAAACTATTTATTTTTGACAGTGAAGAAATCTCCTATTATATTTTATTTTTCCTCGAATACAGTTTCTCAATTATTTGATAATGACATACAATATTTTTATTGTATATTTATAAATTAATTTCAATTAAATTAAAATACTTACACTAAAAAACTCATTAATTATATATTTATATGTGGCCCTAGTAGGTGTTTTAGTTGCATTCAAGTTGTTGTCATGCAGTGTGAATTAGGCGCCGCTCATCTAATTAAATGCCTCTCACCTTGTCATTAACCAGTGATGAAAAACTTTCTCCTATTAAGCTTTGGTCATCAACTGTGAATTATACATTTAATGGAGCTCTATAAAATATCATCTCAATTTTTATAAGTGAATACATTAAATGTGATAGGAAGTTATATATAATAATTTTATATTAAAAAATATATATTTCAATGTAATTAAATATATTCATATTATTAAATGTTATACTTTTTAATAAAAATTTGTTATATTATAATTTTTAATAAAGAATTATTATATATCTTTTTTTGTTGTTGTGTAACGTTGCTCAAATTAAAAAAATTGATAAAATATAGCCAAAGTAAAACTGTAACAGAGAATTACGTTCCCATAATAAATAGTAAAACATTCATAAGTTGATTTTAATTGATTTAACATACGTTTTATATAATTATATTATGAATTTTGTTAACCTCAAATCTAAATCTTAGAGCTGTAGATAAAAAAGTTAATAATAGTAAAATTTTATTATATTTATTATATTTTTATAACTTTAATACAATAAATGTATATTTTTTATAAATTTTATTTATTTATAAATACTTAAACTCAAACTAAGGTTAACAAAACTCTTATAATATAGCATCTTTTACTCACTTCCTCTTTTTGTGGAGCGATGTAACATTCTATGTGTGGAGTGTGAAAGAGTGGGAAAAAAAAATGTGAATGAAACATTTTTTCTAACGTTTTTTAGATATCGAATTTTTTTTTAAGAAAATTTAAAACATCAACTTCGTATAAAATATAATGATTAAATGTCTAAAGGTATAAAATGATTAATTTGGTATTCAAAACTTAATGTCTCTGTGTATTCAAAGGACCAATGTTATCTAGTATTCAACCGACTGTTAATAACGTCTCCTCACTATTACATGCTATTGCGAGAAACCCAAAATGATAATAAAATAAAATAATTTTTCACTTTTAATATAAGTTTGCAACGATTTTACTAACTATTATTTTAAGGATTTAAAGATCTAAAAATCGAAAAATATTAAAAATATATATCATAATACTACTAAAGTTATTTAATATATTTTTTCTATGCAATTAAAATATTTAATACTATAATTTTAATTAATAATTTAAAACTAAAGCCTTAAAATAATGGCTTGCCAAACTGAATTAATCAATTTCTTCATGCTTTTATTATTGAAGAAAAAAAAATCAAACTAACCTCCTTGCCTTCTTACCTTTCTCCAGTACTACCCCTAGCTAAAAGCAATAAATATAAAATTTATTAACATTTCTTAAATAAAGCCAAGTAAAACTTGGAAGAAAATGGCAGTCTAGGCTAGGGTTCTTTAAGTGTCGAGGTAACCATTCTAACCTTTTTCCATCTCTCATGCCCCTAACTAAAAGTAATAAATATAAACTCTACTAACATTTTTTACATAAAATCAAGAAAAACTTCAGGGAAATGATAGTCTAGGATAGGCTTTTTTAAGTGTCAAGGTAAGCATTACAACATATATTTTTTTTTCTTGTTTTAAATGTCATTTGGTAGTAACGTATGTATTTTAAGAATATGATTAATTTTATTAACTAATATCATAAAATAAAATTTTACTAAAATATTTATTTTTAAAAGTGATAAAACCATTATAATCTATAGTTAATTAATTTTTATTTTTTCTTAAACATTTAGGGTTTTATAATAATTAAAAAATTGGTATTCCAAATTTTATAAAAAAATATTATCTAACTTTTATTATTTTATAAGGTATTGGTGAAAAAATAATTAAATCTCTCTAATAATACTATTTTAAAATATTAAATAATTTGGTTCAAATAAAAAGTGCTCTAGTAACATCTAAAATAATTTATATTAAAAAAATACTAAACAATATTTCATATACTGATTAAGAAATAAAAAAATAAAAATTTTATTTTAAAAATAAAAATAATTTTCACTCTCATATATTTTAATGCATTTGAACATAGTTTTTAATAAATATTTACTGTTCCTTATTTCTTTAACCAGATTGTAGGACACTAAGCAACACCGTTTATATCTCTATTTTCAACTTGTAAGAAAGCTCCCATAAACAGGTAGTGGTGGATGCTTCATAATTCCCTCGAACCAAATCCATTTACCAATTCAAGAGAAACGAAGATGCTTCACATTTTGTTACTTTCGCTCTTCTTCTCTCATTCTCGTCCCATGCTTCTAATGTCAATGACTTTTGTGTAGCAGACCTGAAGGGTCCAGAAAGCCCTTCAGGGTATCCATGCAAACCCCTTAATACAGTAACAGCAAGGGACTTTGTGTTCAATGGCTTGATGTCAGGAAACAGTTCTAACATTTTCAAAGTTGGATTTAAGAGTGCATTTGTTGGTGATTGTCCTGGGATCAATGGGCTCGGCATCTCATTAGCACGGATAGACATAGAAGAAGATGGGTCATTTCCAATTCACTTTCATTCGGGTGCCAATGAAATAGTATTAATGTAGTCCGGTCAAGTCAATGTTGGATTCATTACATCTACGACACTTTATGAGAATAATCTGAAAGAAGGAGATC